CTCCCAAATCTGCACCTAGCACTCGGAGCCTTGGAGGCCTGGTTTCTGGACCGGTGAGTAACATCTCACTCTCGTCACTAGTTTTGCAGATCAACAAGAACAAGCTCACTGATGGTTTTTGTTGTCCTGACAAATTATATGTTTAGGTCTCGCGGCAGGGACTGCAGCTACTCATCTACTTGGGAACCGGGATAGAAGAAATCGCGCCGATGAACCCGGCTGGAATAGTCCCTTCGCAGCTGGCACATCGACTGGCTTTGGGACCGGCGGTTGGTTCGGTGGAGCTGGCCCCTCGTTTGGTCGGTCTAATCCCACCTATCGAGGCCAAGGTAGCTCGAGGGACATGGATGATAGCAGTAACTTGGGCCCCATTCGATCGTCTACTGGCTTTGGTGGAACAAGAAATCGCTAGGTGCCTATCTTGTACAATTTTTTATTACACTTCCTCTCAAGCGAAAAAAAGCACTAGATCATGTTCAAATTAAATTTTGATGGGGAATTTCTTGCGATATCTCATTTGGAATCGGCTGTGTACAGCACAGTAATCATGGCATAACAATCTGTAGCAATGAAAACTGTGAATTTTTGTGTACACTGTCTTTACTTGGCAATGCCAAAGCCTTGGTTGAGTAGGCAGTCGCCAACAGTCCCATTTTTCGAAACGAAAAAAAAAGAAAAATGTTATGCTTCCAAGCGAACTTAACACAAGTCCCTCCCGGGGCCCTCCGCTCCGATCGAGAGGCTTAGTTAAGCTCGGCTTCCAAGCAGCTCCCAAAATGATAACTTTGACCCCGGTTTAGGAACTTCGGTGGTAGTGCTACATGCGGGATCCGGGAAGCTAAATTAGGCTCAGCGCCGCGGCTGACCTATATGAACATCAAGTAGCTAGCGGCAAACCTGTTCAAAATGAGCTGTCGACTCGGCGAAGCCGGTGACTGAGCCGCTCGTCGCCGTCGGCCTGTCAGCCCGATTGGTCCAGGGCCACTGTATTCTGTATCCTAGGTCGGCCAGATTGGTCCGGATCTCTGACTACGGTCAGCCTAAGACGTTGTAAGCCTTGCGCCCATGAGTACAAACGCTATGTATTCCTCTATCATTTATTATAAAGCCTCTTACTTTGCTTGTTTCTTGCTTTCATCACCCCATTACATAACATCTTCTTTCCAACGCAAAGCTCACCTTCACCGTCCCCACGCCTGCTGTTCGGCCTACCCTGCCACGCATTACAACGGTCCCGACTCCCCGAGGATTTTGCTACAAAGTATCTTTGAATCTCACCAAAAGAATACCAGCTTCCCCATCTCCATCTCAAACCAACAAGACCGGCCTCATAGAAGCACCTTGACTAACAACCTTTGACGACGGCAAACTCGAATACGATTTTTGATAAACGATTGTGATGGCTTTCAATTCCAAGGTCTTACTTTCTGACATCTCCACGCTCACCTTCTTCGACGGTGAGCAGACAACCTTTCGTCGAACCTCGCCAGTCGATCAACTGGTCTGTCGGGGACCTGGGTGCAAGGTCTTCCGGCCTGAGGTCATCCAATGCTACAATAAAGGCGGTAAGTCTCGCCGTCATCCAACGAAGAATAGGATATCACGAAATAAGGGTGATGTCTAATAAATGTGATTAATTACTGACTTGTTTTCTTGAAAAACATCCAGGTTTAGGAACTGATGTCAATTGGAAATGTGAGGCCGACCTCCCGGCCAAATTGAAACTTGGTCGAGTTGAAGTGGGATGTGAAGGATGGTCCAACTCGCAAGATCCGTATGTACTCAAAGGTTTGTTTTTCATTATGCCCTTGTTCCCTTTTCTTGACCATTGCGGAATTTTTCACTCACATCTTTGTTCTGTGACAGGCTCATGCGCCTTGACTTATACCCTCAATCTCGATACCTATTCGAAATACAACACTTCTGCGGAATCTTCTCCAGCCGTAGCTTGGGTCTACTGGATGGTTGTAATCCTAATCGCCTTCCTCTTCGCATACCCTTATATCCGTTCCTTTCTCGTGCGGTTTCTGCCTTGGCTCGATCCCATCTTAGCTGATTCTTCATCGGGAGGTGATGGGGGTGGCCCGCCCCCACCCTACATGCCTGATCAACCACCTCCCAAATCTGCACCTAGCACCTCCCAGCCTTGGTGGTCTCCTTTCTTGTCGGGTAAGTGAGACTCCCTCCTCGTGACTGGTTTTCGAGATCAACGAGAAAATGTCCACTAATAGCTTTGATTGTCTTGGCTCACTGTAATTTTAGGTGTTGTGTCAGGAACTGTGACGCACCTGTTGAGGGGCGCCGATACGAGAGCCTCCGATAGACCATCGACTGGCTTCGCGACCGCACCTTCGTATGGCCGGTCTCATCCGACTTATCGAGGCCAAGGTAGCTCGAGCGACATGGATGATAGCAGTAACTTGGGCCCCATTCAAACTTCTACTGGATTTGGTGGAACCAACAATCGCTAGATGCTTTTGTTGCACACTTTCTATACTTCTCCCCAAAATAAAAAAAGCACTAAAAACATTTATCGGAATTCGAATTGGCTCTGTATATCACAATCACTCTCACATAACACTCTGTAGCAATGAAAAATTTAAACCTTTGTGTCCACTGTCTCCACTTGTCAACGTCCATGGTCCGCGTGAAGCAATTGGCCGAGTACAAAGGCCCAAAAAAACTGGGAACAGAAGGACAGTTGGCAAGACAAAACCACCTGACAGCTTAGAGCCTGCAGCGGCTTGAAGGTTTCTGATCCTCCCCCCAGCATGGCTTCCACCTGCTTCTGGATTTGCTTTTTCGCGAGCATCAAGCATAAGACTGATGGCAGAAACATGACGCCTGACTCAAACGCCACGATCTCTTTGACTTCAATTAATCCTCCATCCCTTCTACACTCTGACTATGGTAAATCAAGACATTCTCAATCCCACCTCATTGTCGTTCCACTCCTATTTCTCCCTTCCGAGTGCCAGTCTCCAATTCCACGGGCACACTAGCCACGAAGTTTGCTAATAAATATACTGGAATTTATTGGAGGAGGTGATTGCTGGAGGATTAAAAAAATTCCCACTGGGCAAAAAAGACTTTTGGGGAAAAGCAAACTCAGATGTTGGGAGGGGCTCCGATGTACTCCACTAAGGTACAGCCACGTTGGCAATCCTTTTTTTTGCGGGGAAGAATAAAAAGATAATTTGCTTTACTGTCTTTAAGCTATGGCTATCTAGGTGGCAAGCAAACGTCTCTCATCAGACCAAGAGAGCGTGTACATAGTTTAAATACAGAAAACAAAATTTGGGGGTGGTGTCGTATCACAATCACTAGGCCTTTTCAGGTGGTCGGGCTTGCAAATATGAGGGACCAAAGAAAGGGGAAAAGGGGCGGAGCTACTGATTGATGAAGATCATGTGTGTGGGGAAAGGGGGGGAGGGGATGATTGGGGGTATTTTTTTGCTGTTTTTTGATGTTTTTTTGACCCTTTTATCGGAAAGAAGAAACAAGCTGCAGAAGCGCCGGTTAGGATGGTAAAGAATTGCATGCAAAAACACTCGAATCAGTACCAAAGCGCATCGTACTTGAGAAATCTGAAAGAATGGTTGACATACTTTACTGAAATCACTTTGTGAACGGAACCATTAAGGATGGCCTCGAGTGATCGTACTCCTTAATGTTGGACATTGCAGGAGTTGCAAGTGCAGTTGGATTGGCAGCTGTCGCAGGCGCTGTTGCAGGAACCTAGAGTGGGAATCGTTTGGGTAATTCAGAAAAAGAAAAAAGTTGGAGGTACAAATAGGAAACGCTTTTTTTCAGTAAACTGTTCTCAACAGGTATACTTCTTCGTTGAGATGGGCATCAAAATATAGCAAGATGTTCCACCAAACGATGATAAACCCAGTAGGAAGAATTAACTAACCCTGGCAAGTGCAACCGTTAGGCATCTTTAGTTTTTTTTGTTTGTGGGTTTGGTTGGTTGAGGTGAAAAGTTTTTGTTGGAAGTAGTATGTAACTCGGTTGAGATGTGGCTGATGGAGGATGATTGGGAAAGGCAGATGAGGTGGGCCCTTTTATGTTGAGTTTAATGACAGCAAAAGACTGCCTGAACGAGCTCGCTCAAGGCGTGCAGCCCTCAATTCTTCGATTTGTCTCCACCCTCATAGTTCCGATCCCAGTGACGCACATGAATCTGAACCAATGTCGATCAAATCCCGGGATCAGCATACAACATTTGCAGTAAAACAGTCCCTCACATGTCTCGAGCCTTTGATATGGTAGTCTCTGCAGGTGTTTCTTCAAGGTTACCTCTTGCGCATGTCCAGACAGCAGCCTTGGCTTGAACGTTTCCGGAGCTACCGCGAAAATCACGACGTGGCAACTGGAGAGGGTTGAACTTCAATGGTTTCGGATTGAGGTATGATAAGCTGTTAGAGTCATTTCGTATTGGTTATGTATTTCGGGAAATGAGGTCATAGTGTGCAACCCAGCGTAGCCTCGCTGTTGCTTATTCTCCAAACCGAATTCTCCCATCTTTCAAGGCCGTATTAATGGAGAACGTGCCCTACTGCGAAAGTTTCGTAGTCATTCGCAGTGCGTCAAGCTTCGTCCAGTGATGTTCTAAGCGTGCGCGTCTTCAACTATGTTATAGTTGCTCCGATGGTGATAGCATGTTTCATCTTATTCAGAGAAATCTTACTTCACCGGGGGCTTTGGAAGGACTGGTTACAAAATATCAGACGGTCCATCATCATGTCATCTGTGAATCCATCTCATCGAACTCAAGCCGAAGGCTTTCAAGAATCAAGGATGATAAGGTTCCGGGATGTGGCATGGCGAAACCTGGCGAAACCATCCATGGTTATATTGGGGGCATAAATCGGGACCCGATTAAGATCATTTCTCTTGTTAGACATTGACAGCGTTGTGGTCAACATCCATGTTTCAGCTGCATAACCTTGACACATAACATCATAGGACTTGGCCATCTTACACTGGGCCTTTTGCTGGAGGACTTGAAATCCTCCAATCTGCGTAAACTCCGTGGACACTCGGACTCAGATATGAAGCACTCGCAAACTAATACATGCAAAAGGTCTGCGGAAGTTTTGTCCAAGTTGTTGCCACCGTTTCAGTTTTTCAGATGTCAATCGGATTCGAGTTTCGGCGTAACTGCAGATACGGCCTGATACCCGCGTCTTGAATCATCTGGCAAGACAGAATCATCCTATTCGATCGTTGTCGATGTTGTATTTTTTATGTTCCTGTCGTTATTGATCTTGGACACGCCGCAAATGATCAACACGGCGGCAGCTCATCACCTGCGCCATACTATGGCCTGAAGCAATCGGGCTTTCTCCCCATCGCGACAAGTCAACACCCACACTTAAAATATTATCAATAGTGCCCTTTTTTCCCCCTCTCCGCCTTCGGTGATGGCTTTCAACATGTTGCGATTGTCCTTTGCGGCGGCAACTAATTGTCTGGTACGACCTGCGCCGTTTCTGCCCAGTGCTCGCGTGCTAGTTTCTGAACTGCACCCCCCGCAAGACATATCAGCACGAGCAGATTTACTCCAACGCTTACGCAACAAAAATAGCAAGGGTAAATGAAGCTGAGGGATGTCAAGTACAGACATTCGGAGTGCCATTCGAAGATAGCTCGATTCACCTACGCCCCGGATGTGACATTGTCATAGGTAAGCAAAAATCTGCTCTTGACTGTGATTTGCACAAATTGTCGTAGCGCGTTTGAGCTGCTGTGAGAACTTCCGCTTTATAGACATCTAGAGTACTTAATCGATCTCTGCCCGAAGCTCAACGAGAGGTATAGGCATATCTCCGGCCGCTACGCTTTAATTACAGTTTATTAACCAGAAGAAAAACCTATAGAGAGCTGGGCGGTAGCCTGGTCGCAATGGGCAGTTACGTTATCCATAGATCCATCAATTTTTGTTGCTACTGGTTATTTCTCACTCGAAATTTCAATCAGCCATCAAGATTGAAAAATCAGGGATTTGTGCAAGCTGTTTCTTGCACTTTCAACAGTACCTCATATCCAGTACTGGATATGGAGTAAAAAAAACTGGATATTCAGTGTATTTTTAAAAAAAAAAAATGGTGTGAAGAGGTGAACAAAAAAAAATATAAAAATACTACATATCCAGGTTTATTTTACTGCACATCCAGTGTGGGATATGAAGTTATGTTTCAAGTGTTGAAATTAGGGAAAAAATGTTTGACTTTTCAAGCCAATTATTTTTAGGGACTCCGAAAAACGACTCCCTTTTTTTTGCCAACGACTCCCAACGACCGTCAGCAGACGTCCGTTGGGAGTCGCCTTCTAAAGTTTGGGCGGATTTTGGGAGTCGTCCGCCCAATTTCATTTTCATTTTTTATTTTTTATTATTTTTTTTGGGGGGGGGGAGTCGACTCCCCAAACCACCCCTCATGTATGAGGGGGTTTGGGAGTCGCTCCCACTTGACCGGAAGGAACCCTTCCGGTCAGTGAGGAAGCTAAACCTCATTGAGCGGAAGGACCGGAAGGGATCCTTCCGGTCGATGAGGAAGATATCCCTCATCAACCGGAAGGGATCCCTTCCGGTTGATGAGGAAGACTGAACTCATCAACCGGAAGGAATTCCTTCCGGTTGATGAGGTTTAGCTTCCTCATTGACCAAAGGAGAGTCCTTCCGGTTGATGAGGAAGCTATACCTCATCAACCGGAAGGGATTCCTTCCTGTAGATGAGGTTTAGCCTCCTCATCGACTGGAAGGGCTATACCTCATTGACAGGAAGGAATCCCTTCCAGTCGATGAGGTTGGGGGGTTCGCAGCGAGGGCTTCATTGACCGGAAGGACTCTCCTCCGGTCGATGAGGAAGCTACACCTCATTGACCGGAAGGGGTTCCTTCCGGTCAAGTGGGAGGGAGCGACTCCCAAACCCACTCATACATGAGGGGTGGTTTGGGGAGTCGACTCCCAAAAAAAATAATAAAAAAAATAAAATGAAATTGGGTGGTCGACTCCCATAATTTGCTCACACTTTAGAAGACGACTCCCAATGGACGTCCGCTGACGGTCGTTGGGAGTCGTTGGCAAAAAAATGGGAGTCGTTTTTCCGAGTCCCTATTTTTAATCAGTAATTGATTCTGTGACAAAAATAAGTGACTTGAGTAACTAGATATCACATGTAATCAATGATTGGAACTAAAATACTTGGAAAACATGATTGATTGTTTGTACAATCATAAGACACAGTAAAGATAAATCCATGACAGTTAAATCCTGCTGATTAATTCAAGTGTTTAGTGCATGATTTGAAAGATTTTGGGGAACTCATGAAGTTGATATTTACATCTTATAAGCTAGTTCAATCTTTGGTAGATACAAGAAATCAATAAAGAAATAAATTCAATAAAGATTCTTCTTTACCTGAAGGCAGAATAGACCCGGAATGAATATGATAATAGTTTTGAGGTAAAGAGAATATGATAATAATGATAACTTTTCTTTGATTGAAAAGAAAGAAAAAGATAGATAGTAACATGAGAAACAATTCAATGATTGTTTAGCATCAGTTATTTCTTTTTCTTTTATGTATAAATTTCAAGTAATCACCGCATTAATTGATTGAATAATATGGCTGCCTTCTGTTTTATATTGTTTCTTTATTGATTGTTGGTCAAAGAATCTAAGGTTATATAAAATTTATCATTATCTTTTTAATATTTCTGATTTGATTCTCTTTCACAATCTAATGAAAGGTTTGTAGAATAACTCACCAAGTATAGATGAGTTTTTTAGGGATGAGAAGAAAAAGAGATGAAATTCCAACAGATACCATTTCAATATGATACCATGGGATCGGATCACCCTTAGCGATCTGATCCCTTATTTTTCGATACCTGGTATCGAAAAATCGATCCGATCCAATAAATCGGCCGATACCGTATTGGATTGGATCTGTTTCACCGTTGCCATTGAGTCTCACTCGATACTGAAAATGCCGCAAATTTTTGATGGCAATAAAGGGCAGAAACCATATATAAAATTCTCTCAACAAACCCTACCACCAAATCTTGATGGATTATAATGCACTTGATTAAGCATCATGTTACAATAGAAATCATCCTCAGAAGGTGGCAGTGGTCAACATGAAGGGAAACCAAGGTCAGGCAGTGTGCCAATTTTGTTTCAAGTAGCAAATTGCATAGAGTCGTAGTCTACTATTAAGAAGGGGATATATTCTTAGCTTTATTATGGCATGATCAGATTCTACAGGAAATTTAACCCATTTTCACTCACTGAGACCACTAGGCTAGCTCCACTCAGTCAAAAGTTATTAATTTTATATTTATACAAAATGCTTATTGCATAATGTAAGTGTGAATAGTCAAGCTAAGGCAATTTATTTCTTATAAGCAAAAAGGCAAGAAGAAATGCATGATTCTTGAGAACAAAGGAAAAGAAACCAACCTAAGGCAAATAGTGGACTTGAGAGATCGTAAGGCAGAATAAAACACAAGAGAAGGAAAAGAACAAGAGACAAGCTGAAAGATACAGTGTTAACAAGTGAGATCTTTTGATTCAAGAAGAGAAGGGACAGCAAGTTAAACCTATGATGACAATAAGACCTAGGTTTTGTATTGATGATTGATGGGATGACGAGAGGAAGGGAAGCACTACTACCAGTCTTGTTGGTGAGATAGTTGAAGGAAGGGGAAGTGGTAAAGAATGCCAATGTTTGTTAAGAGTAACAGCAGGAAATGATGACGGTGATGTTTTTAAAGTGGAGGAACTGGTAGAGTTGTGAATTTTGTTTGTAAAAGAGATAAGACTACAATGATAAGGTTATGTAGAAAAATTTGAGTTCCACAAGGGAAGAAGAATGGAGAGAGAGGAAAGACAGGAGTATTAAGTATTTGATGCGTGAGCAAGTTTGGACCAATGACATCATTGGTCCAAATAGGGAACATGTTTTGACAGGTGAAGATATTTGATATGTGCTCTCAACAACAGAAAGTGATCTTAAACCATTGTGCTCTTAACTAGAGGTTAAGGAGGAGGGGAAAGACACTTTGAATATTCACATTTGTCATCAGTATCATCTCATAAAATTACATTCATTATCAAACATGGGTACAAATATTAATGCCCTCTTTAGATCTGTTAAATTCTTTGGATTTGCAGCTTTCCCAAAATTCAAATTTCAATTTTGAGCAAAAAATTCCAAAAAATACAAAAATGGAGGACTGCCCATGGGTTTTACAGGCCTTGAAAGGCTAGATTTACAGGCTGCAGAGCTAATTTTTCTCTGGGAGAATGGTTTTACAGCCTGTAGAAATAGCTTTACAGGGGGTTGTAAAATTGAAGAGAAGTACTCCAATCCAGAAAAATCTAGAAAATCTAAGAGAATTTGAAACATCTAAAAATCCAAACAGAATTTCTGAACAAAACAACAACAAGTTGATATCCATGATATCCCATATTTTTGATTGATATTTCCCAGGGGACATTGAGCAAATTTTGAAGTGTGTCACATCTTCATGACCCAAACAACCAATCACTGGCTCACCAAGAAACTACAAGCTCTTGATTATTGGTCTGTTCCATTCATCAAAAGCTCACAGCCCTGCTACAGCCCTTGACAACTGGAACAACCAATCATCAAGAGACTACAGCTCTTGATGTCCAGAAAACATACTCATCAGGATCTGTAGTCTCTTGGTGATTGGTTTGTTCCAGTCATCAAGAGACTGCCTACAGCATGTGATGACTGGAACAAGCAATCATCAAGGGCTGTAGTCTCTTGATGACTGGTTGTTCCTAAGGGTGGCACCCAAAAGGCACAACCTGGGGTGACACCTAGGGTTAGGTTAGAGATCGTTTGTCGGTACCCATTGCTAGGTACCTAGTACCGCTTGGCGGGTACCGCCCGCACCCGCCTCGCACCCGCCAGGCGGTGCCGGGTGCCGGTTTTTTGGCAAAAAGAGGGGAGGTACCCGGGTACCGCCCCCATGAGTCTTGACCGGAAGGGTTTCCTTCTGGTCGATGAGGTAGATGTACCTCATCAATTGGAGGGGTTTCCTTCTGGTCGATGAGGTAGATGTACCTCATCAATTGGAGGGGTTTCCTTCCGGTTGATGAGGTACATGTACCTCGTTGACCGGAAGGCAACCCTTCCGATCAGCGAGGTACATCTACCTCGTTGACCGGAAGAGTTTCCTTCCGGTCAAC